TTTTGAGCCTTGCCACGAATTGACAATTTTGGTCGATTTTTGCATGGATTCGCTCTTAAATCGATTTAAATATTTTTGCCATGCTGGGAAGTTATTCCTATCGCTAGCTTCCATGTTAATGCAGTCAATTATCTCATACGTCCCTGCGGTTTTCACCTTTCAAGTTTTAGATTATTAATTTTTTTTAAATGGAGCCTCTCAATCGCGAAACAAATTTATAAATGTTAATTTCACCATTCTACATTCGAACTCTTATCTTTATTAATCTATAGGCACACATATGTATGATTCAACAAGAAGTTGTGCCTTACCGTAGTTTTATCCAATCATGTGTACGCTGGAGTGTCGGGTCGTTAAAGTGGTCGACATATCGACTGACTATCGACCGACTCTCGATCGTTATGTCGGCCAATATATCGACATATGGACCACTACCATCGATCGAGAGTCGGTCGATGTGTCGATTGACACATCGCCATGCAGTGTCTGTATCAGTCAAGAATCGGTAATCTATCGGTCAATTGTCGGTGTATGAGCTTTCTTTAATTGTTTTAAAATTATTTTAGTTAAATTCGGTTTAACTTTTCTTTATCAATTAAAAATTAAAAAATGGGAGAAAAAGGTTCCCTCGACCCTCGACATGAAACCCTCAACCCTCGACCCTCTACCCTCGACAAAAAGATAGACTCGACTGCCTGTGGTTTTACACCTCTGTGATAACCAGGCCCTCCCATGCTAGTAACCCATAGTGCATTGCTCAGCGCAAGTGCTCTGCTGTTTCTTCCGGTTCTTTGGCTGTGTACAAATCATCATGGCCTGCACAGTTCGGAGGCGGATGAGGTTATAACGTCGGCATTAATTTAACCAACTGCTGAGCCTGTAAACGCTTGACATCATGTACTTCAGTCAGGGTGAGGAAAGAGAACTGAAAGTTTCTGTTATGTTCAAACGAGCTCAAGGAAGAAAGATGACATCAGTAAATTGGAAAGAGAGTTTTTGTGTTAACGCCTAAAATCTAAACTATTTTGAAGGCAGTTGCAAGGTAAAATAAGGGGATTAATTTGCATATGTTATCTTCTAACAAGGAACAGTAA